TTGTCCTCGGTAGAGAGTCTCAAAGGTAGCTGAGTGACATAATGACAGTATAAAAAACAATATAAGTAAGTAAATAGGACAGTTACACTATAAAATTAGTACAGAACGCTGAAGTATGTGTCTAATGAGCAAAAAAAACGCGAATTACAATTATTTTATTAGTCTTTCAGCCTATTCCTTCATCCTGTCTCGCTCTTTCTAGCGTCTCCTTTTTTTTTATGATTTCCGTTATTATTTCTAACACATAATCATAGTTCTTTCTGTTCTGCATAGCTAAGTCCAGTATATTATTGGGCGTGACCTCTCCTAGCTTAATTCTCAGTCTTTGACGTTCTTGTAGAAAGACATTGCATTCGAAAATGCAATGTTCCGCGTCATCAGTCACACCACAATCCATACAGATATCGTCATTTGTTTTTTTAATTCTGTATGTATACGACCTAAAAGAACCGTGTCCGGTCAGGAATTGTGCAAAGAAATAGTTTATTCTCTTGAACCTACATTTGTACCATGCTTTTACATCGGGTATTAGTATTTTAGTCCATTGTGCTTTTTCCCTTTGTGCCTCCCATTCAGATTGCCATTCATCAAGGATCTGGTTCCTAATTTCGTCTCTTACCTGTGTCAGGTGGCCGTTGCCGTTATTGTATAGGATGGCTCTTTCTTTCGCTAGGAGGTGAATGGGGAGTGTACCAGCAATCACCTGTAAGGCTATCGTAGATGTAGTCCGGTACGCACTAACTACTTTAAGAAGGGGCTTTCTTTGAGCTTTTGTAATCAAGTCTTTGTACCTGGCAAACCTTAAGACTTCAATCCATACAGGGGCACCGTACAAAAGGGTCGAATGCACTATTTGCAAGTACATTCTTCTTTTATAATTACTTGGCCCTCCTATATTAGGCATTAATATTATCAGGGCCTGTCACTTTGCCATCCTTTAACTGTGTTATCGCGGAATAGACTTCCTGCTGTAATATTCTTTGGCCATCATTTACCTCTTCTTCTAGCTCAAAGGTGTTATCTTTTTGTTCTTCAAATAGTTTTTCTAGATATTCTTTCCAAGTTTTTATTTTACTCTGTTTGTCAAAGATGATGTTTCCATCAGAATCAATTATATTGCCCTTTTGCCTTCGTCTTAGAACCCACCCCCTGTGGGTTCTTTAACTTTAACTTTCCTGTGTACATTGTGACTATCTTACTAAAATAATTAAATAAAATTAGTAGAGTTAATATCCAAGACCATAATACGATCAGCAGTCGCGTATGGAAGCGAAACATGGACGATTGCATTAACAAAAAGGAAAGTAAATAAATTGCTTGTGTGGGAACGTAAAATTCTTCAAATGATATACTTATGGCCCTTGCAGAGCTAGAGTCTCTATTCGGATAAGAAAATATAGTCAGATATATAAAGGCCAATAGATTCAGATGGGTAGGTGATACGCAATAACCACAATCGCCTTATACAGTATTGGAAGATTCAAAACGGAACATACGAATTATTAATACAATTATTAAGATCCCCTGACCTGCAATTACCCAGTGTAAATTTCAATATAACGTCGCGATGTCTTATAATTAATTCATTTGTTCGACTGGACTGCTGCTCCTTCGCGATTTCTAGTAGCGTATTCGACAGGTGTACGTCGACACTGTTGTCTATCGTCCACTGATTTTCTGTGTTTTTGTGCAGATAATAACAATGTTTTATTAATAACATTTTTTTTGTGTTCATTAGATATTATTTGAATTGGTTAGTGTATAGTTTAATATATTTATTATTCCAAATATTGTTGATAATTTAAAATTTAAAAGGATGTATATGATACATCAAAATCTACAGATTTTTGCCGAAGGTATCTATCGATTTGGCAACAGTCCCAAGGAACATCACTGGCCGAGCAAAACAAATACATGCCCTTTGCTTTGCTTCTCATTATAACGCCATAAGCTAAAATAAAAGTAGTGTTTCTAACCATAAATCATGTATACAAACAAAAAAAAGTACAAATTTTAAAATGGTATTATGGGGGCAACTCGTACCGTGGTATTATAAATTTATTTATTTGTGCGTATGAAGATAGGCCAATACCGACACAATCAACTATTAGTTGTATTATTAAGGTGCGCACGTGCGCAGCAGTCGAAAAATATCGACTGGAGAAGGAGTCCAGTCGAACAAATGAATTAATTATAGTCAAGACATCGCGACGTTATATTGAAATTTACACTGGGTAATTGCAGGTCAGGGGATCTTAATAATTGTATTAATAATTGGTATGTTCCGTTATGAATGTTCCAATACTGTATACAATGTGTTACAGTATTGGAACATTCATTTTTCATTTGAATCTTCCAATACTGTATACAATGTGTTCTGGGAAAGGCCAGATGGAAGGTCTATAGGGCGGCCTAGCAAAAGATGGAAATATGCAGTCGAAGAAGATCTAGAGAAAATGGGAGTGCGACAATGGGAATTACTGGTACAGGACAGAAAAACATGGAAGGCAATAGTAAACGCGGCAAAGACTCACGAAGAGTTGTAGCGCCATTGATGATGAATATCCAAGCCACATCAGTGTTGGTCGAAGATTCACAGGGCTCGTCGGCAAGGCTCATTATTTTATCTGCTAATTATTGCCCACCGAATAAAATAATTAAAGCTGATTATTTTACTGAATACTTAAGATGTTCGGATACGCTTTCATTTCTGCCGGAGATTATAATGCCAAATATCAGAAATGAAGCTCCAGAATCATAACCACACATAGACGAGAATTATTAAAAAGTATTAATGAGAATCATTTAATTTCTCTCTACTGGATAGCATACTTATTGGCCCACTGATAGACAAACAATTATCGATTTCGCTATAGTAAATGGAATATCACATACGTACCTAAAAATTTCTCCTTCATTTGACCTCTAATCAGATCTTAATAGAGCTTGCAGACTACTCAAAAGAAAACTGATCCAACATAAAGACAATGGAATTAACAAATATTTAAAGAACCACTCACCTGCAGATAATACAAACTATTCGCTGTGGAAACTAACAACAAAACTTAAACACAACGAACAAATGCGTATGCGAGTCAGGAAACAAAAAGGTACTTGGGCTACTGACATAGATACAGTATATACTTTTGCAAATCATCTATGGGTAGTCTTAGTTAAACAAGAGCAAGCTATTCATGAAGTCGTAAATGCACCATATCAAATGGCTCTGCCTATTAAATCTGTTAAGAAATCTGAAATCAAAGAAATAATTGATAATCTGGAAATTAAAAAGTCATCTGGATATGATTTAATGTCTAGTTTAGTACTAAAGAATCTACCCAACGAAGGCGTAAGTTGAATTACTTATATATTTAATTCAATATTAAAAACAGGTTATTTTCCACTCCAATGGAAAGTAGCTCAAGTTGTTCTTATTCCAAAACCTAATGTTAAAACAGTAATGTTTTACCGAATTATCAGTTTGGGTTTAGGAAACAACATGGTATCATCGAGCAAATTCATAGGTTGGTAAAGACTATCAGAAATTCGCTCGAACACAAAAATTATTGTATTGCTGGATTTCTAGATGTCTCTTCAAGCATTCGACAAAGTTTGGCATGTAGATCTTATCTCCAAAATTAAATCCATATTTCCTCATCCCATGAGTTCACTTTTAAGATCCTACCTGACAGATCGATTCCTTCAAGTCAAAAGAGGTGGGGAAATCACTAACCTGTTTCCAATTTATTCCGGATTTCCACAAGGAAGCATACTAGGACCTACACTCTACTTAATATACACATCAGATCTCCCAATAACGACCAACACAACAATCGCTACATATGCCGATGACACAGTTATCATGGCTTCAAATTCTACAGCAATTGAAACCTCCCAGGTATTGTAAAATGACCCACTTAAACTAGAGAGCTGGCTTAAACTGTGGCGAGTCTAAGTCAACAGTTTAAAATTATAAACAACACTCTACTACCAGTTAATACTGTCGTTAAATACTTAAGAATTCATTTGGATAGCAAACTTAATTGGTGCATCCACATCTGAAAGAAACGCCTTCAACTCAGCTTAATCTACAGGAAAATGTATTGGTACATGAGTCGAAAATCAAATCTTAGCCTGGAGAACAAACTTCTGATATATAAATGGATGTAAATATAAATGGATGTAATAAAACAAACGATTGGAATCGAAAGTACTGCGCTAGATATGCACTGCTCCTTGGTATATTACGAACCACAGATTACACGACGAGCTACAGTTCCCAACAGTTAGCGAAGCAATATCTGCTGTAAACTCTGTATACAAGACCAGACTATTCTGCCATCCAAATCCGCTGGCCACGGATCTGCTCAACATTTCACACGTAAGAAGATTAAAACGATCAGAAGTTTTTATTCTGGTGTTTTCTAAAACTCTTCTCGATCTTTTAGTCTTGTAATACTCATATGTGTTGTCAGTGTTGTTTATCTGTATTAATCTTTGTTTGTTAAGTTGAAGTTTAAATTAATTCTTATATCATAGATTAAATTTATATTATATGTCTTACCTGGGTGCTCGTCACTGGGCGGCTTCCCACTATGTTATTGTACATAAATTATACATATAAACTTATTGTTTGTAATGAGACAGATTGCAATAAACATTGGATGTTAAAAAAAGCTTCTAAACCCGCCCAAACTCCTCGAACGAATTGTTGACACATGAATAAATCTGTATTCATTAATTATATCAGTACAAGAGTACATTTTCTTGTTCCAATGTATATTAAACAACAGAGGCTAAATAGACTTGAGGCTTAAATAGACTTTGAGTGATGTAAATTGACATGATAATTAGATCAGACCATTAGCTGATTAAATCGGACAAAGGCGCACAGGTAATATTGAATCCAAATTTGAGTTGATTGATGCTTTGGAATCAAATATCATTGTAGTTGACTGATGTTTCCGCTAACCATAGTAAAAAAATTGCATTTATTTTAGGTTCCAATTCAAATAACATTACCCCCACAACCCGGTACGGAAGGAGGACATAGTCGAATACTCACCATCCAAGTGCCGGGCTCCGCTTTACAAGGAAACCAACTACAAAAAATCCTCACAGGCCCAGTCATAACGGCCACTATGGGTCTGCCGGCCAGTATCGCCTCCTCTTTGCTACAGCAACATGTTAACGCTGCTTTCAACAGTCAACAACAAGCAGCCACCGTGGCCATTGTAAATAAAAGTGTTTTACAGACTGATGGAGCTGCGGACCAAGAAAGCGACATTGAAATGGAGAGCGGAAGTATGTCTAGGACTGATAGGGATAAGGAGCTTGAAAGTATGATCGAGGAGGGCATTAGCATAGAGATTATTTTACCTAGAAGTAGGAAGAAAGCCAAAGGTGAGTTTTAAATATTTTAAAAAACACACATGTCGGATAAATAAAGTTAGTCGTGGTAGTATATAGTCGCAGTATTTGTTAGGAGGTTTTTCCAATAGAGACCTCCGAAATTTGTTAGTTGGTTGCTATCATATTCTTGAAGCTAAAGCTATCGATTAGGCTGTGAGCTATTCAATCTGTTTTGCCAAATCACCATCGCTGGATGTAGCGTACAAAAATACGAGAAAATGATAAAATTGTTTTATCAAAATGGGTGTTCTGTTCGGGTAAAGTTCACAATAAGTTCACGGCAAGTTCAGATAACATTGAGTTCACTAGTTTACCTATAATATATCAATCAATACCCGTACATAGACGAAACGCAAGATCTGCCGAAAACACCGCCGCTGTCCGTGAGAGTGCAAAAGAATCCGAGAGTGTTGATTTTAAGTAGCTTCCAAGAACTCAGCCTTTTTTAGACAACAAACAGAATTGTCGAATTTGGTACGATACCAATCGAAATCCAGATCCAAGAGCGTCCAATGCATCCCCAAAAAGTCATTGTTTGGTGTGAATTTTGGTTTGGCTTCGTCATTGTCCATATTGATTCAAGGACAACGTTGGAATGACGTTCGTCGTTACGCTATAGTTCGATAAGTCTCGGGAAATCTCCGCAGATTAAAAAAAAACAGTTTTTGAGTCTTGTATGAGTATATTGCCAGTCTCTAAACGCATCCATGAAACAGTGGCACTCACATATATACTCACAAACAAGTTACAAACAGAACGATCTGTAAAAAACGATATGTGCTGAGGATAATTTCAGGGCCACAAAGGAACATGAATTCAAACTGAAGTAGCAACGGGTCGGCCACATAGCGTGACAGCTTTGGATGGGATTGTTGGTTTGACATCCTAGAAAAACCAAAGATGCTTAGAGGCACTCCTAAAGAGATGACGAGGCGGTATTTGAAGTATCAGTAGAAAATATTGAATTCAGACCTTTGTAAGTAGAAAGATATGAAAGGAATCTGAAGAAACCCATATCAAGGAGTTTGAGTGAAGGCTGAAAAGAGAGCGCTAATAAAATTTGAAAGTCCAGTAAAAAACTAATGGGCGAGGCAATAAAGCAATAAACCTAAAAAAAATTTGAAGTAGAATCTCAATGAAACTTATTGCACTCGCTTCGTATGAGTGTCAGGAAATTTTGTGAACAAAAGATTGATTTCGAAATTAAAATTTTATTGAACAAGGAAAATGAATTTTCGAAACTTTATTTCGAAAGTGATGACAAATCATAAATTTGTATAACGAAAATAATTAATGGAAATATTACTACTTGAGGGTTTTTGAGATCACTTAACATGAGTATCATGCCGCGATGTTCTCCAGGTAGAGATACCAGGTAAACCTGGGCATTGCCTTCTGGAGTTTTTCTTTTGTAATTTTTTTTAGGAATTTTTGAGGCCGCTGAACACTAATCTCATGTCGGTGATGGTGTGCAAGGCGCAGGACGGGTCATGTCTTTAGAGTTTTATGGAAATTTGATACAAAATCAGTGCAAACTCGTTAGTCGGTGTTTTTTGGGGTCGCTAAACAGGAATATCATGACGTTGGAGGTCTGCGATGCCAATGGTACTTAGGACATGCCTCGTCTCGTGAAGTTTTGTTAAAAGCTGATACAAAATTAGTGCAAATTGATTACTTAAGGGTTTTTGGGTCAGTTGAACAATAATAATCATGTCGGCAATGATGTGCGAGGCACCTGGTGCCAGGAGGGCCTTGGCTTCTAGAGTTTTGAGGAAATTAGATATAAAATCACTGCAAACTCTTTACTCAGTGGATTTTGGCCACCTGGTCCACATTATGAAATCGACTTTTGTGTATATCGGATACAAAATCAGTTCAAACTCGTTACTCGGTCGTTTTTTGGACACTAATATCATGGGGGCGATGATGAGCGAGGCACCTGGTGATAGGATGGCTTGGGATCATGGAGTTTTGTATTAATTCAATAGAAAATCAGTGTAAACTCGTTGCTTAGGGGTTTCGGGGTCGCTGAACACTAATATCATATCGGCGATGGTGTCCAAGACACCTTGTGCTCAAGAGAGGTCTGGTTTCTTGGAGTTTGTGCATCGGAGATCATCACTGTTATGATATTCGTGATAAGTGATCCCAAAATCCCACTAGTAACGAGTTTGCACTGATTTCGTATAGAATTTTTACAAAACTGTAGGAGGTGAAGCATGCGCCGATATGCTATTAGTGTTCAACGAACTCAAAAAGCCCCAAGGAACGAGTTTGCACTAATTTTGTAATAAATTTCCTCAAAACTCCAAAAGACGCGATCCGTGCTGGTCACTAGTGGCATTCTAGAGCATCACCGTTATGATGTATGTGATCAGCGACCCCAAAACCATCGAGTAACGAGTGTACACTGATTTTGTATCGATTTTCCTTAAAACTAAAGGAGAAGAGGCCCGTCGTTAGCAGCAGATATCTCAAAGACCATCTCCGACATAATGTTAGTGTTCCGCGATCCCAAAAATCCGCCGAGTAACGAGTTTGCACTGATTTTATATCGAATTTCCACAAAACTCCAGGAGACTGGGCACAGGTGCACCAGGTATCTCGGAGACCATCGCTGTCATGATATTCGTGTTCAGTGATCCCAAAAAGCCCCCGAGTAATAATATGGAACTCATTTCCGTCAATTATTTCCAAATTAAAAATTTGTCATATTTCATCATTTCAAAGTGCGCTTTGGAAAATGAATTTCTTTGTTCTATAATGCAAATTTCATTTCAACATCATCGTTTTTGTTCACAATAGACTCAATCGAATGCAAAACGTTTCATTGAGATCCATCCTACTGCAAAAAATTAGTAGGTTTTGAGCTTTTTAATGCTTTATTGCCTCGCCTATAGTAAGATATTTTATTTCCTTTTAGTTTGCTTACAGCCTTGGACTTGTACGACCAGTTAAGCTAAACTATTTAGTTTGTTTACATTTTATAAATTATATTTGGGAAGACCAATTCCGGCGATATGATAACCAGCTTGTTTTTGTATTAGATATAATGAAGCCATACAAGTTTCAAAATTTGTGCTTTAAATTAACTTTGTGTTTATCTCTACATTATTATAAATATAAATAAAATTGATTACCAAACAAAATTATGACCTGTATTCAATAATATCATAACTTGGATATTTTTATTTAGAAAATTACATTTTCTATCGGACTTGAGTTCTTGTTGTTTGTTGTATTGTTTTGCAAATTAAAATTTATCAATTTAAAACGCGTAGGTAAATAACACAGACTACGTAACATGGATATAAGAATAGTATATGGGAAATGAGTCAACACTCATAATCTTGAGTAGTTTTTAATATTTAATGATGATTAAATTTTGGGCTACCTAGGCTTACAATATTTGCCTCATCATCAGGTCCCAGTACGTTAGGTCTTATTTATATAAAAACCTACATCTAAAACAACTTAAAACAAAAAATGAACAACTGAAACACAATAAATTGATACTAAGTAATAGCAAAAACATTAATTGTAAGTAATAATTTTGGTTTGTTGTAAGCATAATTCAATTTTAACATAATACCCCTCTGTAATACCATATATTAATTGAGGCCATCCCCGGAAAAAGTTCCCATAAGTATATGGGTCGTTTTTTCGCAGATCGTTTAAATCGATCCGCCATGATGTAAAGTTAATTTCGGCCAAGTTTGGCAACAATGTCTCAAACCTGTGTCATTCGATAAACAAAACATTTAACTACCATTTTAACAAAGTTGTGTTCGCGTCCGTTGTTCGTTTGCTTGTCGTTAACGTAAGTGTGTTTATTGAGCTTTAAAAATGGATTCTGCCGAAGAGGTAGTTAGACAAAAACTGACAAGATGTAAGAAGATTAATGTGACGCGAGAAAAAATAAAAGTTAAAAGGCAATCAGGTAAAATATACGTCACCTCGGCAGGTCGCGATGTTGCAGCTAAGTCATTTCATCATCATCATCTTTGGCTCGACAATCCTCTGTGGATCTTGGCCTGCTCTAAGATTCGTCGCCATTCTGTTCGGTTTTTGGCAAAATGTTGCCATCTTCTGATTTTTAATATTCGTAAGTCGGTTTCTACTCCATCTAACCACCTAATTCGCGGTCGGCCTTTGCTTCTTTTTCCTACAGGTGTTCCCGTGGTTAGCTTTTTAGCAATGGTATTTTCTGGCATTCGTATTATGTGTCCAGCCCATCTAAGCCGCTGTGTTTTAATGAACGTTATGACATCTGGCTCATCAAAGAGCTGATACAATTCAAAATTATATCTTCTGCGCCACTGCCCTTGGTCGTTTACAGCTCCAAATATTTTGCGGAGTATTTTATGCTCAAATATTCCCAAAAGTCTTTCATCTTTCTGCGTTAGAGTCCATGTTTCTGCTCCATATGTGAGGACCGGCCTCAGCAATGTTTTGTATATAATAATTTTAGTTCTTCTTTGAATGTTTCTTGAGTGGAAATGCTTTTGGAGTCCATAGTATGCCCTATTTGTAAGATTTATTCGTCTTTTGATTTCTTCGCTTGTTTTATTGGTAGCAGTCAATAGCGACCCAAGGTATGTGAAGTTGTCAACACGCCCAAAGGTATGACTTCCAAAGACTGTTTCTCGTTCCTCATTTGCTATCGGATCCTTTGTAACCAACATGTACTTGGTTTTGTCTTCGTTGATGACTAGACCGACCTGTTTCACCGCTGTTTCGCCGCTGTTTCCAATTCTAGGAGATATTGCTCAACATCTCGTTTGCTTCGCCCTACTATGTCAATGTCATCAGCATATGCTAAGACTTGTATCGATCTATTGTAAATAGTACCGCCAGCTAAGTCATTTCAGTTAATCATAAAATGCTGCCTGGAGAAATGTTTTACCCGTTTAAGTGTCGATGATCAAAAACAATTATTTTAACTTTTATTTACAAGCAAAGTTTCAACAGGACTCTTTGTTGGCTCAGTG